AATACACGTTAGGAATCACTGGTCGACTGTTTGTTAGGCTTAATGAATGGAGAGATTGAAAGAAATATTCCTCTGGACGTGGTCGGCGTCTATAAAACAGTAATATAAGAGATATACAAACGACTGAAAACATGAATGTGAAGAGTAGTGATCCTGAATATATCATTAATGAACTGGTTTTGCAAACTTGTGTCGAGTTATTCCACTGATTGCGGGTCAGACAGGCCCCGGGTCTCGGAGTGGACGACTTTTGCATCAATGAAAACAAATTAATTTGTTTGCCACCACTCGTCAAAAAGAGATTATTGATGGCAGAGATATTCCTCGACTTGAGACTCTGCGCCAAATCTCTGATCTTGGCTTTGATGGTCTCATTGAGATTGAGTTTCTTAATACATCGGCCGATGTCTGCGTGAAACTCTTGTCCGGACTGACACCTAATATTACAGATCCAGTTGTCATCGCAATACGCATTGGAGTCATAATATCGGCACTGCTCTGAATAATTGCATATTTCTGTCACACGTTTACCTAAAAAGCATTTATTTGTCGCCTCTATTAAGACATGTCCCCCGCTGCAGATTAGTGACTGACTTTCCATGTCTTGTATGGCGTAAGCGAATCGGATATTCAGTACTACTAATGACGTTATCATTAATTCTGTATTAATAACTGAATCCATTAATTATTGCAAAAAACACAAATTTTATGTTAATGTCAAAACTCAGAATCGCTCAGAATTTATAAAAATAAATGATTTTTTAATAAAGATTTTAGTTAAACTGGATTTTTATATAAAATATAAAATCAAAATGAAAGTTAAGTTCAAAAATGTGCGCCGAATCTGACGGTCCTTTCAATTAAAATCGATTTAATCATATGAAGTGCTACTAAACTATGGCAGCAGTTCCGTTGGCCTATGATCTATGATCTTGATATATTTTTTCATTTATTTTATTTTTAATAAACTTTCTTTGAATAAACTGTCAATTCCTAAAGCAATGTGTTTTTTTGTCAACAAACTAATACTGTAATCACGAATTTTATAAATCCCTATTTCTTTGTCATTTTCTTTTTATATGTTGTCTCTAATTTTATTTATTTTGCTCCCATTCCTGATCTCCCGGTGCCACACATACTGTTGATTCAGGCGACTGTCCAAATCTGCATTAATTGGCGCCCAAAGAACTGTTTGCCTTAATTTGAGGCAAAGTTTTTCTCATTCACTGCTGTTGTGACACAAACTCCTAATTAAAGGTTTTATTTCTCTAATCAATGAGTAATCTTTTAGGCGATTAAGACCTTATTTATACCTATTCTACCATTTTCTATATAAATAGCATTTATTCTGAATCCAAAAAAATCACGTCAATTAATAATTATATGCTAATATGTAATCCCTTTATTATTCACAAGAAAATTGTTATTTAAATTTTATGTTAATTTACTAATAAGAATAGTTACGAATAGAGAGAGAGAGAGAGAGAGAGAGAGAGAGAGAGAGAGAGATGAGTCAAAATTTTTGTATAATTTTTTTATTTGAATATTAAATTTAATTTGTGTGACAATATAAGTATGAAAGATAAAATTGTGTTAAACCTTTAAATAATAAACAAGTAAGATTTTAAAGAATGTATCGATTGAGATGAACTTTAATTCAATAATATGTGAACAGATTATTGTAAATCAATTTTGAGTCGAGACATTGGGTTTAAGAGTGAAATGCGGTATTAAATGGAAAAATCTGTTTAAAACTGATAACTTGTTTATCGAGCATTTGATTTGTGTTCACATTTTGGAAAATGTATTTTTTCAAAATATCAAAATCAATACAAACACTTATTAAGAGCATGTATTGAAATCCAAGTTAACATGTGATATACAGTACGTTTGAAAATTGATTTTTAATGTTGTTTACTTCACGAATAAGTCAACTATTTTGCATCAACATAATTATGGATAATTATTTATTTATGAAAGTAACATATTTGTGTGACATTAAAACAATATTACAAAAAATGAATAAATTATAAAAAATAGTTTAAATTTAGGCTAAAATGTAGTAAACATTTTCTGAAAGTTCATCTAAAATTGAATCCCATTTATGCTCAAAATTGGTGACATATTTATCCTGGATATAATTTAATTTACAATATATTTGATTTAAATCCTTGTCTTTTTATGGACTCATTTGAGGACAAGATTGAGATGCATTTGGATTGAAATAATAGGCGTAAAGTAAATAAAAACTTACTTAAAGTTAGAAAGACATCAATTGAGAGATTAAGGGTTGGCTAATGAAAATAAAAACCATTTGATAAAATGATAGACAAATCAATTAATCACTAATTCCTATCACCAAATACAAGGCAATGAGTGAACGACTCATTAAGTTAGGGTTACATCAGTTAATACCTTATTATATGGAAACGAATAACAGATTTAAGGCCAGAATATTCAGAGAATTTCATAAACATTAAGTTGAGTTCACTCTAAAAACTCGTAGAAAACATAAATCATCGACTAAATGATGAAATGATGAAAAAATAGAGTTAAGAGTGAATTCAATATAAAAAGAGATTACAGTGTTTTGTGACTTAAATATGTTTCTCGGAATAGATATATCTTTCTATTTTCAGTAAATATCAAAAAATATCAAATGAAGGCACGAGTCCTACAAATAGCAGCGCCTTTACTGCACACAAATGTACCACTCATTCATTGTCTGCTATTTTATAGCTTTGTTTGCGTCCTATTTATGTCCCAATATTTGGATTCAAATGTGTTTTTCGTTGACAATCACTGAAAGAATGACGAAAATTCGTATTCAAAACACTTATGAAGAATATTATTGTCGGAAAAATATAATATCAAAATATAACTTAAGAATAATCTCATAAAACCCATAGAGAATCGAAATTCATAAACTTATTCATGAGATGATATTTTTATATTACCCTTGAATTACTCAAGTGATTGTATAAATATGTATGAAGTTATCAAATATAAAATTATTGTTGTGCCTTTTAATTAAATTAAATAATAAATTACGATAATCCGGTTTTCTGATAAACTAAGATATAAACTTTAATATGTGGTAAATTTAACTTGTTATTTAACATAATATGTATAAAAATTATTTTAACAATAAATAACAAATGAATTAAGTGCAAAAGTACTCTTAGTACACCTGTAATACATACAATATTAATAATTTATAAAACGCCAGCTTAACAAACACTATTTAAATAAGTTATTTTGTTGTTTTAACAATACATACTGTATTTTTAATAAAATACAGTAAATAATACTTTTTCAAATTTAGACACTTTCTATTACCATTAATACAAGTTTTTTCAAATCCTTAAGATTACTGTAAAATCACGATATTTTTTACTTTTATATTTTTGTGAATAGAATTTAAATTTATTTTTATGTTTTCAACAACATTTATTATATGTTTATTTATGTGTTACATAATACTGTCAAAACATAAAATTGTGTCACGATACAGTATGTTTCTACATAATATAATTGTTATATAAAATAAATTATTCATTTATTGCACATTAATGAAACATTCAAATTTACCGGTATATGTTTCCCTAATTGTTTAATATATTACCTGTTTAAAGTTTAACATAAAAATATAATAAAGTTTTTGCCATAAGTTTGTTTCAAATGTCAAAAAAGTTTTACTTGTATTTATCATTTTAAACAGATTCATATTTGTGGTAATGATTCAGTATATGTTATATAATACTGTATATATACAGTATATCTTAATGATATAAATATGGCATAGGTTAATATAATTTTCTAATCATGAATATCTCTCTAAAGACAATTAGTATCAAATTAATCTCATTGAAGTCCTCATAACAATACTTATAATACTCTGATATTTCATAAAACAATGCATTCGCTAAATGTCAACATAAAAAATAAACATAATGTCAATAAGTGTAAGGGTATTTCTAAATAAATTACTAATGAATAAAACAATTTATAATTATATAACATATAAAATAATGTCATTTCATATAAATATTTTAGATATATTAGATAATGTTCTACAATAAATTGATGTCTACATAATCATAATTTTTGTGTTGACTGTTATTACTTGAATTGCATGACTAGAGATGACTTTCAACGGAAAATAGATTAATTAAAAAAATAGTTCAATAAAATCATAATGAATTTTGGGTACAACTTTTTAGTTTTTATAAGCAAGTATAATATATTTTTATTAATAAAAGTATTTTTTATAATTACAAAAAAGTTAGTACATTTATTTCATTATAGGTATACTGTATTGTGGTGTTTTAAATTGATTAATTAAATATAGATAACTAAAAACTAAATTAATTTACAAACACCACAAAACATATATTTTGTAAATTACTTTTTTACAATAAATTATTCAATTTATTTCCACATTTGATAAATGCTTTCCTGAACTACCAATTCGGACAAAGTATTGCAATATTTATTTGGTTTAAATTTTTAATTAAATATTAATTCCACTCAAATAACTCTCCAAAGACTAAAACCCTTAAAAGATTGATGTATTGTTTGGGATGTTTTGTACAATAGTCTCGTATAATTGGTATTATATCTGCCTTTTAGGAGTAATTATTTAAAAACTATAGTTATTGCTTGAGCTGACATTAAAAGTAAGTTTTATATTAAATTATAACAAATGATAGCAAAAAGTAGAGATCGGAGTCAGACTGAGAGATGAATACAAGGGAAACATATTGCGTTGTGTAGGCGTTACAAAAGGGGAGCCGTTTTTATAAGCGATAATTTCCAACTAAACTCTCACTCAATCATTCAAATTGTTTTGATATTTCACACGATGTGCACAACTTTTCATAGGATTTCAATGGCTGGTGGGCTGTGAAAAAGTGGCACAAACTCTGAATATAGAAAACAAGACAAAATTTGAGTTGAATTTCAAAAGTGCGGCATAAGAAAGAGAGTGAGAGTGTATTGAGTGTATTGTTTGGTAACTTTTTGGCACTGTATTGGTTGGCAAAGGACTCGCCAAATGTTTCATGCCTTATGTTTTGCTGAACACATACTAACACACAGTGTGTGACATCACATGCGTTGCTCTTTCTCTCTATCTCTCACGAACCGCACAAACCAGTCGTTCACTCTATACTTAAAACACATTTCACTGCAATACTCGACCCATACTTTCAACTCAACACAATAGGCAAAAGTTTTTTGTGTTTCAAAGGAGTTTCCAAATTGTGTTACATTTTCGAGAGATTGAGTCAAATATTTGTCACTTTTATGTTTCATGTGTGTTTCATCGCCACATATATTGTCAACTAATTTACACTTAAATTGAAGGTGAGTTTTGTTTTTGAAATCAATTTATACTTCACTGTAATCATTGAAAATTGTATGAAAATCTAATTAAAAGTTTAATGAGATTTATATATTTCGTATTCAAATGAGATTAGAAATTACTTCGTTTAGGAATTTTGTTTTGAATCCTTGTTTGTAATAAAGATTTGGTTATATGTTAGTCATATATAACTGCTAATTGTAACTATTCTTTAAAATTATTCTTATAATAGTTATCTAAGAATATTTAAATTCTGGCAATTCATTAGATTTTAAAATAATTTGTATTTTATAAATCTAATTCTAGCATATTTATTATAAGATTACAATGACCTATATTTTTAAAAAATCATATTTTTGACAAATGATTTTTCTTCGCTTATATTTTGAAACACTCTAATAATATTAGACATGTTATGTGTTAAACTTTATTAGTTTTATAAACTTATTATAATAATGTGTATAAGGCTTATAAGCCCAAATCTAAAAGTCACTTGAATGGATTATCCAATTCAATATCTGCCTCATCAGCTAATTATATAAATGTATAAGTGACTGTGAAAGTTATTTGACAATTTTTAAGTTTTCATTTTTGGGTTAGATACACAGGGTCAATACGTAAAAACAAAATTATGGATTTCGCTAAATTTGCCTTGTTGATTTTTAAATAAACTTTTCTTTTTAAAATTTGTAAACATTAAATCCATTTATCTTAGCACTGGATGAATGTATCAGGGTGATTCCAGATTAGTTTGAAAGATCTTTCAAATTTCAAAAAATAGTTTTCTTGCAACAGAACTGTAAGTATTATGCTTTACATTTTAATCAAGGCATAAATATTTTCTATGTATTTATTAACCACAGATTATACCTTTACCTGTATAGTAAATATACATAGATAATATTTATGCCTTGATTAAAATGTAAAGCATAATACTTACAGTTCTGTTGCAAGAAAACTATTTTTTGAATTTTGAAAGATCTTTCAAACTAATCTGGAATCACCCTGATACATTCATCTAGTGCTAAGATAAATGGATTTTATTTTATATCAAACATTTTATATCAATACAAAAGATTAAATAGTTATGACCTTTTAGATTTTTACCCAAAATATGAAATTATTCATTATACTGTATTTACTTTACAGAATATTTATTTAATGCAATTCATTATAATTATATTTTTAATCAAATTGTTGTTATTATAAAGTTAAAGTAATTATAATATAATTAGTTTTGACGTTTCTTTTATTCTTTTCTATATAAGAGTATTAAATGTTTGATTTATTTAATTCATATGAACTTTATTACAAAGTCTTAAAGATCGACATTTAAGTCAACAAAATAGTGATTTTTTACTATCTAAAAGAATTATTATAAAATGTAATAAAATTTTTTAAAAATAACTTTATATGAATGAAAATTTTCAAAATGTGTATTCAATATACTGTACAAAGTATTTAATGAGATTTTTATCTTTTAGCTAAAGATTTAGAAATGTACGAAATGTTTGCACACTTTATTTTATATAACTTATAAGTTATACACATATCAAATTAAGTGAGACCTTAAATTTAACTTAAAATCAAGTCTGACATCAATTTCCAATCTCCTCCTGGTATATTTGATTTTTTATTGAAAAATATACAATTTATTCCTAAAAATAGTATAAAATGTTCAATGTACTGTATTGATGATGTTTTGAATTGATTGAAACATAAACTTTTTCTGACAGAAATATCAAAAGTAAAGTATAGATTGTCTGGTGGTATAAGATAAAGGTTATTTAGTAGTCGGCAATGGGCATTACTCTACTCGTATTGTCAATATATTTTTCTTGTAATAAGCAAATGAAATGTTAATAGAAATACAGATATAATAACACCATTTCCTGCACTCCCTCTCACGACTCAATTGAAACGAGAAACCAGTGGTTTGTGAAAAAAGTGGGCAATTATTTATAGGGAGCCAACATTTTTATTAATAGCACTCGTATTAATAGGCTAAAGTATGGATAGTAATTGCATTTAATAATTAAGAACTCCATACGAAACTCATCTATTCAGACAACAATTGTAATGCAATCAAAGCCTGATATATATCTTAAGATGTGATGAAAAGTTTGTTTTTTCGGTTCAAAGTCTGGGGAATCGTATGATTTGATTACAAGGAACCCTCTATTCATATCTCATTTGCTGTATTATAAGATCTTATCTTATTTAACAATACGCTTGTATTTAGGGTTTTCATTCAATTATTCACATTCAGTACCAATAACTGGCAAATAATAATAATAATATTCTGGTTATAGGAGAGGGATATATGGCGTAAATTGTAATTTATTATCAAACACACAGTCAGAGCCTATTTCGCATGAATCCAATCACTGCCCACTTGTGATGCCTTTACTTAGAGGTTATGTCTCTTCTATGCCTAATCTCCTTAAGTCAAACTCACATCTTATTTGTTATCAACTATTGATTAAGGGTTTGATATAACAGATACAATGAGTGATATTGTTTTGTAGCTAACATTATGAAAGAGCACTTTGTTTTTATTAATAGAGATATCCTGCTCTTTGATGAACACATTTGACACGATAAACAACACCAAAGAATATGATATCATAAGAAAGTGATGGATATCTGATAAACATATTATTAATAGATGGAAGAATTTCTCGGACAAATAAAATAATCAATAATACAATTTAACTTACATTTGGAAAAAGTTATTTGTTAAAGAATATTCTAAGATTGTTATAAATAAGAATATTCCAAGAATTGTATAATATATTAATATTTGTTTCAATAGGTTATGACTAAAATAGAAAAGATTTTTTGTTTTTCATCGCAAAACAATAATAAATTAGATTTCATGAAGAGTTTGTTATTATATAGAATACCCCCAAAGATATCGTTAAACCTAACTTTGTTTTTGAAGGATTGCGAGAAACTGACAATAAATATGGCATTAAGTCTCTCCTTATCTGACATTAAGTTTTTCCAAAATAAATGTGTTTTCCAGAAAATTGTGTTTTGTTAAGTAAAACAAAAACAATGATTCAATTAATTTAATTTTAATTCTTTGAAACTTATTATTTATGGCTTTAACTCTTACTGCAAAGAAAATGATATGAAATGAAAAGAAAAAGATATTTTATATTTAAATATATTAACAAAACTATTAAGAATAGAAAATATTAATAATACTAAACAATAGATACAAACAGCAGTATATTATTAGAAACAAATGCTTAGCATATCATTGTTTTATCTTATAATTCATTTGCTAAATCTTTTTAACATTATTTTCATGTTTTTCGAAAACAAAAGCGAAATGTACTCTAAATTTATTATTTGAAAAACATTCAATTTAGACTCAAAACACACAAATATTTACACGCTTTGAGAGTTGTACTGGCTTAGTTTTTGGTTTTTCTATAGTCGTATTTCGTAATATCAATTATTTCATGGATTGGAAACATGCATTATATGATCCATATGACAAAATAAACTGCTATTTGAAGTGTTTGCTATTTCGTGTTGCGAAATATCATTTCATCAAGAAAATCATTTTATTCATTATTCAATCTAAATTTATGTATCCTTTATAAATATTTGATTTGCCGTAACATAATAATTTAACTAAACTTTAAACTATACTATACTTCTTAAAGAAATACTTCATTTATTAACCAATTGGTGATCAATTGATTTAATTTCTATCTAAATCAAAATTTACTTTATAATCAATTGTAATTTCTTTTCTAAATGTCAAATATAACGGTACTGTATTTAAGCTTATTGATAACTTCAATATACTAATATATTATATAATACTGAAATTTCAATATTAGGCCCATGTTACTTTAGTAATTTTATACTCTAATGTTTTTGTTTGTATATTAATAAATTAAACAAATAATTGTGTTTACACATAAAGTTTTAGTATGTTGGAAATACAAATAGATATTACTGTATATTACTGTATTACCGTATAGATATAGACTTAATTTATATTTTGTAATTAAATGTCAACAAACTCATTAATATTTATAAACATAGTTTTTCTATGTGGGGTGTATTTAATGTAATTATTATATAAGCATTTAATACACAGAAACTTAATATAATAAACGGCAATACAACGGAATATTGACATATACTGCATAATAGTTTATGATATTAAATACTAGTATACTATATTGATGTGTAAGGGTTAAATGCATTTCAAATATTAATGAAATATGATATTTTCTTCAATATCAATAGGTTGTTACATTTCTTATATAATATAAGAATAACATATTCTTAAATAAATTACCAATTTAATTTAATTATTGTCACTGTTTCAAATTAAAAAGTTTCTAATTATAGACTATTTTCTGTTTGTATATTGTATATTACTATTATTGCATTATATTTACAAAATTGTAATTGTAAATTAAGTTTTATATTATTAAAAGGAATTTTCTTTAATTAGCCTTAGGTACCGTAATTATTAATACGGTAACAAAAATTGTAATTGTTAACAAAAACATTTAATATAATATTTTATATGATTGAATAAAAAAATTGATTATGTGTATTAAAGTTTTTGTTGTTTCGAAAATATAGGCGAAATCAAATTATATTACCGTAGATGTAATTTATATTTGCTTAATTCTTTGAATGAACCTACGATAAGAATATTTTATAATAAATATAGATGATACATTTTAAGAAATCTTATTACATATTTTATTGTAAGAATGAATATTTAAGTTCTAAATATCACATCTACTTCATTTAAATTACTATTTTTAGTTTTTAATAATTTTAAAAATATATTTAAGATGCTTATTAGAGACTTATCTAAACCATTGTTATTAATTAAATTCAATATGAGGTCAATATTTTCAATTTAATCCAGATAGTACTGTACTATTAGAAATATAAAACCTAGAATTTCACAGAAAGTGAAATCAGATATATTAATTTGTTTTTGCTAATCATTTCTAATACAAACTTACGTTTCCTTACCGTAAGAAAACTTTGCAAAAAAAAGTGTTGATCAGAATTGTGTTGAAATACTGTTTCCTCGTCATTAAATACATTAACAATTGTTTATCTCAAAGTTTGTGACTATAGTCGTGATGTGTCTATAACTCTAATTATTTCTTCTGGATTTAAGTAATTATTTAGCTCTTAATTGGCTTTTTATTAAATTGGATGACACCTGAAAATTGCAAATAAAATTAATGAGTGGCTAAGAGACAGGCCTAACTTCTACCAGAAAACCCACATATTCTGTGACATTAACTTATGTGTGCCGTAAAAGTGATATAAAATTTAATTGAGTGAATGGATGGAAAGAATTCAATTGTTATTTAATGTAGAAATTCTTTGGCAACAAAAATCTTTTTCTTTTCTTATTACAATCAATAAAATTTGTCGCAAACGGAGTGCAACACAAAAAACTATAACTTCTTAAAAATATATAACACAAAAAATATATCGAAATTCTTGACGCGATTTTCTATATGAATGTCCTATAAATTGAACCCATTTTATGGACAATATTATCCCTCAATTGAAATTTTCAATCAAGGCTCAAATACTTTTTGAGTTTATTTATTTTTTGTTGACATAAATGGCTTTTATATTTTCTTCTATTAAAAAATTCATTAATTTTCCAGGCACATTCAGACTATTTAACTGGTTTTGTTATATATTTTTGAAAAGAGCACTTTATAAATTAATTCAATTATACCGTAATTTTATGTTTAAAAATAAATTATAATAAAATTTCCTTTTATAATTTAATATATTAATATATTTAAAATAGTTGTGAAATAAATACTGCTAAAAGACTATTACTCTATCAACTTTCATATACTGTACGAGTAATATCATAGATATGAGAATATAAATATAGAAAATTGTGCACAAAAAATAAAAGCTTGGTTGTATTACATAAAACATTAACATTGAATAAAACAATATTTGATCTTTTAAATTTTTTGAATAAAATGTTTCATCCAAAACATGAGAAAACACTTTGCAAAACAAAAATGTTTTTATATATTATTAAAATAATTGAAATATTGTTGTTATCCCACTCCCCATAAGTATATTGGAATTTTGTTTTATCACAAAAAACATTGACTTTTGAATGAAAATATTTGGTGTAATGCCTTAAAACAAGTGATATGTAATACGATATAATATTTCATGTCCTAAAAGATTATGTATTGAAATTGAAATACAAATATTGTATACTCCAAAGACTTTCTACAATCTTTTGTTTAAATTTAAAATATCACCCGTTTATAAAAATATGATATAAAATTTATATTTATATAGTACTGTATAAATTGATTTTTAGCATTATTTAAATTCTAAAACCCTTATCCATTTGTTTCCAGATCACTCCAATAGTCTGCCAAATGATGTCACTCTCATTGATGCCAATTATGACGAGACTAAACATAAACTATAAAATATCGACCGTTTCTCGCGTTTTATTATTACTACTAATTTTGTCGGCAATTGTGGAGAATCTGGCGACGAGTCGGTACTACAGCACGAGTGGTCTGTTTTCACAACTAATTTTAGACATTTTATTTGGAATTTTGAGAATTGAATGCAAATTTCTTCTTTATATTTATTTTTGCAAAGTTTAGTCAAATTTAACTAAAAAATTCTTATGAAACAATAGCTAAAGGTTTCAATTTAAATAGAGATGCATTCATATCAAACACATACAACTGTTGAGTTTTAAGATGCCTTTCCATTGAATGACATTTTATTGAATTGTTTGAAAACTCCTACACTCTCTGATTGAAAGAAAAATTTTAGATATTTCAATACAATATGTTTTTGTTTTTCTTATCAAATTCTCTGAATTTTATAATATTTTCTGTTTTTGCTTAAAGTGTTGTCAAACAAATCAAAAGAATTTTAGTTTTTATTCAACATTTCCTAAAAAGACATAATTTTCTTGTGAATTAATATTATTCTATCAAATATTCTGCAAATGAAATGCTATTTATAATACAAAATCGATGTATGATAATATAAACTATTCATTTAAATTTTAACATTTAAAGTTCATAGAGATTTTAATTAATTTTAAAACTAGTTTAATGATCTGTAACATTTGGCGAATTTAATTAAAAATGTTGACAATTGTTTTTATAGTTATTTTAAGTTGATTTTAAAATATAGGAATTTTAATCGTATTTTAAATTAAGCAGAAATTTTAATAATGTTTATTTATAATCTTAACATTTGCCCATATATACGATAACATGCACAATATAATATAATTATTTTTAAATATTTTAGATGAGTTATAATAAGTTAATATTAAATAAAAGAAATTTCATTAATTTAAATAACTTTAAATCAGAGTAAATTAAATATTTAATACTCTATTTTTGAACACAATTGTTTGCTGAACTTTTTTTGTTAGTTTACTAAAAATCTTTGTTAACCAAATGATAAATAATTAAATGTTCAAATTTCATTGACTTTTATTTGCAGAATTTTAATTACAAATGTGTTTTGAAAACATGTCTCAAAGCATCAAACCTTTTGCAAAAAAACAGAAAACAATTCATTAATTATAAAATTAATTCCCAATTTATATCATAAAATGAATACTAGTTTTATAAATGAGTTTTTGTTGTGAAACCGAAATTAATTTTATATTTATTGCGGAAAACAGCAGACAGTGAACTCTCCTCTGATTTAATGGACGACTACAACGGAAATATCGCTAAACTTTTATTTGTTAATAGAAAGTGAGTTTTACTATAATCTGCAAACAAGAGATGGTTTTTGTTGTAAACCTTAATAAATGTTTCATTTGTTTAGAAGAAGTTGTTTGAGACGAGCGGCCAGTTGTGACCACAGACCTGATGACTGCTGCGACAGCTCTATCTGCAGGTATCCATTCATTCAGGCATTCATTTGTTTGCATCAATTCTGCATCAATTCTGCACCAAATTCTGTAATAAAATTTTGTATTCATTTATTAATAGATGTAATGTCTGGGGAACCAACTGTCGGTGCTCTAGAGCCGGTCTATTTCAGAAATGGGGTTGAGATGTCTTATACAGTAGATGATGACGAGAGATAATGATAAGACTTAATCCGATTCCAGATGTTTAAGTTTATAATCAGACATAAGGATAATTAATACCATTTAATCAGTAATTCCATTGCGTTTGATATATAATTATTGGTTATATTGATATATTTATGAATATTTATAAATTATAATATAAATTTAATTTTATTTGTATGTATTTAATATCGAGTTTAGTTTCAACAATTTCATTAGTTTTCATTACTGTTTCACATAATGTTCAAATGTTAATGTGATTTATTTTATTCAAAACATGTTTAATATTATATGAATACCTTAAATGTTAATTGTTGTGTGAGTTTTGAACCAATATGTTTACTATTAAATGCTACTTAAGTTTAATAAAGTGTTTGTTTGGCTAATTGTTTAATTTGTCAAATTTGTTGCGTTCATTAAAATTAATGATTTAAAAATTAATGTCAGTTTTTACAAGCCATTAATCACCCTAAACATTTTATATTAGAAACTCTTATTTATTAGTAAATATTCATCATTAAACCAATTATCTTTAAATAAATATAATTAAAACCCAAGTTTGCATTTATTATTTGTATAATCAAGATTTTAATAATGTATTCCTAATGAATGAATTCTTGAGTGAAATTAAAAATTTACTGAATTATTGTTGTGAATATTCTAATAAAAACTAATTTTCAAATTCATGCATCCAATTAAAACTTAACTAAATTTGCGAATAACTTTAGATACCATTTGATTAGCGTAATTTTAATGACATGCTTTATTTATTTATCGTATTTTATTATTTAATAAATTATGTCAAAACATGGAAATACATCAGTATAAAGTTTATAATTATATGTAGAATATTGTTGGTTTATATGCTTACATAAAGTATCATATTTCTCAAAATGTTACCATTAATACATTATAAATATAATATTCTTAATTTACACACATGATTATTGATTATAAATTATAATTTATAATAAAATTTTATTTTATGTAATAATTTATATAATAATTAATGTAAACATTAAATTATTTTAAGTGTAGGTCTCATGAAAATAATTGATTTGAGTATATGTGGGAAGATATTTAGATTCATTTGTGGACTGTATAGTCAATTTTAAAAAGATAGGCCGATTCTAACCTAATTATAGAGTTCACTGTAAGAATGACTTAGTATTGAATCTAACCTTTTCTTTTTATAATTGAATTTACTACATAAACCCAATAAATAATGGATTTGGTAATCAATAACCAATTTACTAATCATTTCTACTTAACATTGTGCTTGAATTGGTATTAATAAGTCCAAAGTAAACAAAATTATAAATTAAGCAAAACAATAGTTATGAGGGTTATGTTGGTTATGGATCATAAATAATTTGTGTAATAAATAATATTTAATGATTAAATTCATTAATGAATGATTAGTAATGATTTTAAATACTTTCAATACTTGAAGACTTTATTTTCATGTCCACTCCTTATAAAAAAGTCCAATAAAATGATTATCAATAATAATAAACATAATTATATGGATTCTCACACATGAATGGTATCCCAAAAATGATTACTAAAGCAATCATTTGCCAAATCTCATGGGCTTGGCCCGCATGGGTATGTCGGTGACCACGGGCTCCACAATAACATCGGGGAAATGTGTGGTGGTCTTAGGGATGGTGTGTCCGGCGGTGGTATCCTTTTGCGGAACTCTCGTGAATACTTGTGCCGCGAGTATGAGTGTCATCGTCGCGAACACAATGCAATTGAATACTCTGTCAAACATTGCGTTACAATCTGTTGACATTAAATTATAATCAATCAAACACTCGCTTATCTATAATATATGAACCAAAAGACTTCACTCTTCTGATTGATTAATACATTAAAAAAGATTTGTGTTTTACGTGAGAATTGTTTTGTTAAGAACCGATGGCTTACTTGGCGTTTAAAAATGTCTCCGATAAGAGGTATACAAGTGTTTGTGAATTAGCACTCAAACAAGAAAATTGTAAATTATTTTTAGACCAAGTCTTATTGTGTAGACTCCGGTGCTCAACAAGTGGTGACAGAATTCATGCAACGATCTTATGCTCAGTGAAATAGGTTGTCATCAATGCTCAGGTATGGTATCTAACAGACACTGAGTATTGATAATTCAGTTGAGAGTAACGAGTGGTACGAGTAGTTGTTGAAAGCAAATTGGATTTTTAGAGCTAATATTGACACAAATACTGCAAAACAGTATATATTCATAGAGAATATAAATATAGAAAAGGCTTTGGCTTTGCTTTTAAGAATCGATTCGACATTAAATAAACGACTTTTACATCAGTTTCTCACAATAGGTATATATTTGGACTTAAAATATACCCAATTGAATTCATGTGTTATGTCTATTTTATTATACAAACAGTCGTGAATAAAAGTCTATCCAATATATCGTATCAAATATGACCTTATAATATAGCGAGATGTTATAGACTATGATTTGATTTATAGTAATACTGTAGTAGTATTGTACAGAATATCGAGAATCTGGTTGTTATGCACTTTTATCCCAAAAAATACCTCAATTTGTTTTTCGACTACTAGTTATTTGAGAGAAAAATTTAATTAACTTTTAAAGAATCGGAAATGTTTTTTATATCCTTGTTCCATTGTTTTTATTCTGACAAAAAAACCTTGATGCCTTATTACAAATATTATTTGACTCTGAAATGAATTTTCCTTCGATAAATATGTACTCAACATTCATTTATTCATTAATTAAATATATTTCAAGAATAATTATTTATAAAATTAACCCAAAATAAAATTAAGTAATCAATTACAGATTTGTATGCATAATATTGAAAGCAATTATTTCATTGGTGATTATATTATGTATAAATATAGTAAACAATTTAAATAACATTGCTATACTAAAAACCTTTTTACTGCTATACAGTACAGTACAGTACAGTACAGTATTTTCACGGTGCATTTGTCTTTAATAAAAAATTGTTATAATATTTACTGAATAAAAATTGATATAATTTAAACATATTATATTAGCATTAAAAATTTTATATTTAAATATTTAAATTGTATATAAATATTTTTATTTATAATTTGATTTTTGGATATAAAATATGTGCGTACAGTACTCATTTCCTTGCTTTTCTAGATGGGGAGGGTATAGTACTCTTAAGGTGTCCGACACCAGGAATAAACTCTTGAGTTTAGCTCTGGACACAGCCCTCGCATTTGGCTTATTCTTGTCGTACCCTTTTATATTTGCATTCAATTTGGGTTTATCTCTGTTTTTGACAACAGTTTTATTTGTAATTAATTTCTTGTTATTTTTATTGGCTTCAATGTCTTTATTATTTCTATATTTCTTTTTCTTTCTTTTACTTATACCGAGATTTTCGGATGAAAATGACAACAATTGTGTCATTTCTTGCTTAAAGAATATTAATGAGATAATAACTGTTACACAGAATACTGACACTACTATTAGCAAACAAATCAATATAACGTCCAAATCTTTCATATTTCATCAACGAAAATAGTTTAGTTTGGTTTGAGATTATGTTACCAAATAATACGATAATTATGCTAACATTTAAATATCACGACAACTTACAAAGAGCTCGCGGTCACTTTTCATTTATAACAATTACAGAGTATGATTATTGATCAATAATTTTAAGTTAAAACATGTTTAGTAAATTTTAATACATAACGAGTTATAAATTGCAATATTCTTTCCATAATAAAAATTTCACTTAAAAACGCTAAAGATTTTAGAGATTAATATCTTTAATGAATTTTCAGAGATATTTTCTAAATCTCAAGATTTAATAAAATTCTCTACAAGCTAAATAATATTAAAACAAACAAAAAATAAATATAAAATATGAGCACTCGTTGGGTGGGATCACGAATCAGGATTAGGTATTGTGCTCTTAATTGGTCCGACGCCGGGCACAAACTCTTCAGTAGCCGTACGGACGGGGACGGCATGTAGATCGAGTCCGTGTCCGAATGTAGCCTTTCCCATGTGTTCAAAGGACTTCCCCTTATTGACCATTGTCTTAGCCTCGGGTTTATTCTTGTGGTGCTCCTTAACATTTGCGTTCAATTTTGGGTTCACTTTATTTTTGGCAACATTTTTATTAGCATCTAATTTCTTGTTGCGATTTTTATTGGCTTCGATGTCTTTATTATTCTTATATTTCTTTTTCTTTGATTTACTATCGGATGAAAACGATAACATTTCTGTCATTTCTTTCTTAAAGAATACAAATCCGATCATAACTGACACGAAGATTACGGCCACCGCTACTAACAACGAGTATAATATAAACTCTAATTCTTTCATTTTCTAATCGATGGCAATAGATTTGGTGTGATTTGAGATCATGTGAACCAAATATGTAATTATAACATAAGTTGTTATAAATGAGTTTTTAAATTGCCATTTACTCGTCATTCATAACAATTACAACAATAACTCAATACTTGTCTACATTTTAATCAAAGTCTAGTTTATTTATATTGTTTTGTGTGAATTCTGTGAACGAGACATTCAAACGGACACTGATTTTTAAATCATTATTCATAAACGATTCAAACGACAAGTAATATAAAACTGATTTTTCATTTAAGACAAAAACACCACTGAAGGCAATGACAGACAAACAAAGTAAGACTAATTGATAAAACACTTTACAATTCATACAAATAATTCAATTCTGAGCACAGAATCCCTGTCCTCATCATTAATCGGAGACTTCATTAGGAGGAATGAAAGCGGAGGTAAATTCGTGGCAAACAAGTCATTCACTGCTCCACACCAATGGCTCCTATCTGGTCCGACATATGGGGCACAGCATACCAGTCCCACTGTATCGCCGGCACAACCAACGCAATCCTTGCCAGTAATGGATGCCATGAATGATGTAATAGAGGAACCAGTTGTTGTATTCGCTGAACTACCGAAGCCTCAAGTGTCCGACATGGCTGTCCAGGCGATGCCTATGGTATACCCTTTGAATACATTATTAAACTATTCATTGAATCCATTTCTGTGACTATCAATAGACGGCTGATATGGAAACCCAGACCCCTATCAAGAAGAAGCGGGCCTGTTGTGTAATAATGTGATCCCTTTCCTCACCCATTCCTCCATTCATTTCATCCAAAATTTTGTTTAATTAATCAATTAATTTCCATTAAATAAATCAAATGTTAAATATAATTAAATTTCAAACAAAATAAAGTTTAAGCAAAAGTTTTTATTTGTATTCAACTGTTTTTCTCAAAAATTCTTTTATTTAACTCTTAATTTTTCATACATTTATTTACATTCAATATAGAGTACAAAAATTACAATAATTTTATGATGACTTATGATTTTTTATGACTCTCTCTCTCTCTCTCTCTCTCTCTCTCTCTCTTCACATTTGATTTTCGGCAATAAAATATTATTTATATTTATTTAATACAACAAACTATTGGTCAGCAAAACATGTTATTCAACGCTTCTTCATATGTGGGAAGTCGTGAACTTTTGATGAGTTCTTCATATGTCGGGGGAGGCTCTGGGGTAATGACTTCATGGGGGAGGGTAACAAAAACTTGGCTCGGGGTCATACTTTGGCTAATTAGCGAATTCAACGCATTCCTATGGGAATCACTGGGAGTATGGTTTGGATGTAACAACTGTTTGGCGAATCTGAGGCCCACGAAGAACAGGAAGAGACTGATGGGTAGAGCCATAATCAGAAGTGAGGCCCAAATGCCGAAAATCCCGTTCACGTTGTGATACCAACGGTTGTACTTCTCGTTATAAGTGTTGGTCATTGGGGGCGAGGTCTGACTGAATAGTCGGCACTCGTCATCATCACACCATTGGCACCGGTTGTCCGCAAAGTTGTACCGGTAATAGTCAGCGCACAGACACCTCGTCACCCCCTGCGCCCCCGTCTCGCAGACGGTGTGGGGGTCGTAGTGCTGGCACTGATGGCTCATATCGCAGGGCTGGTCATAACGGCGCGGTTCGACGCACTCGAGCCACGTGTCCGTCCGTATGAAGCCGGGTATGCACTGACAGGTGCCGTGTCTGTGGGTCTCACTCGCCCGCTGACAGTGACTGTTGACCTGACATTCAATGGACGACCAGCAGAACTGGCCGAATGTCTTGGCGTTTGAGACATGACTGTCGGCGCTCACCAACTCTGGACATAAATTCAGGATTTCCAGCGATAGGATCAATCGTAAGTGATATTCGTTTAGATTAATCATGAGTTCGTCAACGACTGAAGTATGAGACAAGAAATATCCAAATTTGATATTTTGTTTGACATTTGACTTGTTTTCGAGTTTTCAAAT